TATATTATGTTCCTTTACTCCTTAAAACTTCAGTGTGTTACCTGAGAACCACCATGCAGTGATCAAATTCAGGGGATCTAATATTGATACAACACTTTAATCTGTAGTTCATATTTTAAATGTGTTAATTGTTCAAATAATGTTCTTTATAATGATACTAGAGGCCCAGTGCACGAAAATCATGAATGGGTAGAGTCCCTAGCGACTGCTGGCTGCTGGCCGGGGCCTTTCTTTGTTCTGTGCTGCCCCCTGGTGATCAGCACACATCATAGCAATCGATGGAACTCCCAGTCCATTGAACTCCCGAGGGGACACTTTACATATTAGGCTTTTTTTTTTAAATATATTTTATTGATTTTTCACAGAGAGGAAGGGAGAGAGATAGAGAGTTAGAAACATCAATGAGAGAGAAACGTCAATCAGCTGCCTCCTACACATCTCCTACTGGGGATATGCCCGCAACCAAGGTACATGCCCTTGACCGGAATCGAACCTGGGACCTTTCAGTCCGCAGGCCGACGCTCTATCCACTGAGCCAAACCGGTTTCAGCAATTCTTAAGTACTAGTTTGTTTAGTTTTCTCGTAAAGTTGCTGTGCTATAGTACACTCTGCCTGAATGAAATAAAATATTTAATGTGGTAATAAATAGGATAAATTTACTGCATGAAAATTTCAAGCAAGAATTAGGTAATATCAGTGATAGTGTTATCAACTGTCATTTATTGGGAACTTACTATGTATAGCCAGGCCCTGTGCTAAGATGTTTAAGTGTAGTTAATTTTTTTTATTTATTAGTTTTATATCAATTACCTTGACTAAGATTCAGCAAAGTTTTACCTAGTAAATGCAAAAAAGAATAATTTTTACAGTTTGCCACATTTGGTTTATCATTCTCTCTTCTTTCTCTTTCTCCCTTCACACATACACATGCACATAAGTATTTTTTTCTGAACCATTTGAGGTTAGGTTGTATATATTATGTTCCTTTACTCCTTAAAACTTCAGTGTGTTACCTGAGAACCACCATGCAGTGATCAAATTCAGGGGATCTAATATTGATACAACACTTTAATCTGTAGTTCATATTTTAAATGTGTTAATTGTTCAAATAATGTTCTTTATAATGATACTAGAGGCCCAGTGCACGAAAATCATGAATGGGTAGAGTCCCTAGCGACTGCTGGCTGCTGGCCGGGGCCTTTCTTTGTTCTGTGCTGCCCCCTGGTGATCAGCACACATCATAGCAATCGATGGAACTCCCAGTCCATTGAACTCCCGAGGGGACACTTTACATATTAGGCTTTTTTTTTTAAATATATTTTATTGATTTTTCACAGAGAGGAAGGGAGAGAGATAGAGAGTTAGAAACATCAATGAGAGAGAAACGTCAATCAGCTGCCTCCTACACATCTCCTACTGGGGATATGCCCGCAACCAAGGTACATGCCCTTGACCGGAATCGTGCATGTTTGTCTTTTATTAGTGTGTGTGTGTGTGTGTGTGTGTGTGTATATTTTTTTTTTCCATTGCAGAATCTAATCTAGAACTACACACTGCATTTAGTTGTCATATCTTTTTAGTATCTCTTAATCTGGAATAACATCTCAATCTTTCATGACCATTTTTTAAAACTACAGACCAATTATATAAAATGCACCCCAATTTGGCCTTGTCTGATGTTTTCTTATAATAAAATTTAGGTTATGGGGTTTTAATGGGAACACTATGTTAAGTCATGTTATATCCTTAGTAGAGGCCCCATGCACAGATTCGTGAATCGGTGGCATCCCTTGGTGTAGCCTGCAGGGATCGGGCTGAAACCTGCAGTCCAACGCCACCTGCTACTCCTGCCTGCCACTCCTGCTCATCCCAGCCCTGCTGCACCTGCCGCTGTTGTCACTTGGTAGGCTTGCTGCCACTCTGCTGCAGTCTCCAGGCTGCAGAGGCCAGCTGCGAGCCCTGAGTCTGGTGCCTGTCAATCAGCTGAGTGGCGCTCCCTTGTGGGAGCACACTGACCACCAGGGGGCAGCTCCTGCGTTGAGCATCTGCCCCCTGGTGGTCAGTGCATGTCATAGCGACTGGTTGATCAGTCGTTCGGTTGTTCGGTTGCTTAGGCTTTTATATATATAGACATGTGGTGTTATAACTTTTTAAGAGTATTGAATCTAGAAGCACAAGATATATCTTTTTCTCTTTTTGATGATATTAATTGTGGTATCCCAATTCTAAGAGTACTTCCAAAATCTTCACCCCTAGTATATAGACCTGTTACAATTCCCTCCCTATGAGTGGGGGGGAGGGGGGAAACAATGGATATGACTTCTGTGATTAGGTTATGTTACATGACAAAGGTGAAGGGATTTTACAGATGTAAATAAGGTCCCAAATCAATTAACTTAGAGATAATCAGAGGGAGAGTATCTGAGTGGACCTACCCTAATGAGGTGAACACTTTGAAGGGGCTAGGCTATTTCTGACATCATAATTTCCAAGTGTGAGAAGTTTTCTGAATGGGATCACATGGCCAGGACCTGAGAGAGAATCTAGTTATACTGAGTCCAGATTTCTGACCTACAGAAACTAAGATAATACATGAGTGTTGTTTTAAGTTGCTAAATTTGTATTAATTTATTACACAGCAATAGAAAACTAATGTGTTAATTTTGAACACTTGAATAAGGTGTTGTTCACTTCTTATTTCCTTTACTTTTTTTTACACAAAGGTTGCATAATAGAGAGACTTTCTTTCTCTTAGAAATTATTCAGCTAGCCCAGCCAGTGTGGCTCAGTGGTTGAGCATAGGCCTATGAACCAGGAGGTCACAGAGTTCAATTCCCAGTCAGGGCACATGCTGGCTCGATCCGTAGTGGGGGTGTTCAGGAGGCAGCCGGTCGATGATTCTCTCTCACTATTGATGTTTCTATCTCTCTCTCCCTCTCCCTTCCTCTCTGAAATCAATAAAAATGTATTTTAAAAAAGAAATTATTCAACTCTTAGCTCACCAATATATCCTCGTTATTTATAGTTGCTTACTACTTTATTGTGTACAAGCACTATAGTTGATTTAACTAATATTCTATATTTTGCTATTTAGGCAGATTCCAATATTTTTGCAGTTACAAATAATACTGCAATGAAGAACTCTGAGCATATGTGTTTGTATTGTAGAAGGTATATCTTATGGCTAATTCCTAAAAGTGAGATTACTAGGTTAAAGTGTGATTGGAAATGTAATTTCATTATATATTGCCAACTTTTCCTCTATGTGTTGTGGACAATTTTCCAATTCCAACAACAATGTATAAACATGCCTGTTTCTCCATAGCTTCGTCAATAGAGTATATTGTCAAACTTTTGAATTTTTGCCAATATATGATGGGTGAGAACAACACCTCAATGTAGTTTTATTTTGCAATTCTCTTTTTGTTAGTGAGCAATCATCTTTTTACATTAAGAATAATTCACTTCATATCTGTTTGACCCCAGAAATATAGTTAAGGTGTTTATATTTTCATATACTGTCTACATTTTTGCCCATTTCTACAGAACAACTGTTTCCCACTCAATATTTAAAAATTATTTATATATTAGGATTGTTAAATCTCTAGCTATGATACATGTCACAAATTATCCCCAAGTTTTCATTTGTCTTTTAATTTTTCCTTATGAGTTTTTATGTAGTCAAATTTGTTAATTTTTTATTAGTGGCATCTGGATTTTCAGTTAGAAAGTATTTTCCTATACCCAGTTTATAAAGGAATTCACCAATATTTTCTTCTAATATTTGTAGAGGTTTGTTTTGTATATTTAGTTTTCTGATTCATTTAGGGTTTATTGTTATGTATGGATTGAGAAAAAGATCTAATTTCCTCTTTTTACCAACACTAATTACTGTTAAATTCACCTGTGCCTCAGTGATTTGAGATGCCACCTTTATTATACATTCAATTCCATATGTACTTGGTTCTATTTCTGGACTTTTTATTTTATTCCATTGGTCTGTCCATTCATATGCCATTAATGATCTGTTAATTATTGAAGTGCTGTAACATGTTTTAATATCTTATAGGGCTAGTCACCCTTGTAAGTTTTATGTTTTTAGTGTTTTACCACATATTTTGTGTATTTGTCTAGCGCCGCACCCTGGTGATCAGCACATTGGTAATAATATTATTCCTCTTAGAACTTTATGTTTTTGGGTTTATATAAATGCACACAAAAATAGCTACAATGGCAATGATAGTCAATATAGAAAATAGACAAATTGAAAAAGGTCAGTCTGCTTTTAATGGCCACTTTAATAGCTACATGAATATATTGCCATTCAGTATTGAACTGCTTCTTCACAGTACTCTAGTGTAATGAATCAAAGATTAAAGTCATGCTTCTGATGAACTTAAATCAGATAAAATATCAATAAAAATTTTTGAAGTTTGACGGCAGTACAACAGTCAATAGAGTGTGAAATTCTGTTTGCTCATGTACTCTTTCTTTTTCTTTTATACCCTGTACAAAAATGACAGTTAATTGCAAACTAGCCAAAGATAAGTGTTTCTAGTGATAATTAACAAAAGCTATTGTCAAAAAACATAAAATTTACCATGGCCAGAAAGAAGTTTGGAGACCAATTGTATGGAAGTTTTGTGATTAAAATACATAAGCTAACATACAGGTACATGAGTAATTACATATTATATATAATTGAAATAAAAGATAATAATCCATAGTATATATTTCTCTAGAACTTTAATAAATATGTCTCTCTGTGTTATGTGTGTGTGTATATATACACAGTAATTTAACATGTATATACACCACACAAATATATTTCTATGTAATAGAGTTTTTATAAAATAACTAGAGGCCTGGTGCACAAATTCATGTATGGGTGGGGTCCCTAGGCCTGGCCAGCAATCAAGGTCTATCAGGAAGCTGGCCAGCCAGGGGGAGGGACCGCGGGAGATTGGCCTGCTGGCCCCCCTGATCAGGGAACAGGGGGAGGACTGCAGGAGGTTGGCCGGTGAGAGGGGGGAGGGGCCGTGGGAGGTGCACCTGTCTGGGGGAGGGGCCACAGGAGGTTGGCTGAGGGATCACACTGACCACCAGGGGGCAGTTCCTGCATTGAGTGTCTTCCCCTGGTGGTCAATGCATGTCATAGCGACTGGTTGACTGGTCGTTCGGTCGTAAAATTCACTTAGGCTTTTATTTTTATAGATGAGTTCTTATCTATTGCACAGCTGGATTAGCTTACTTAAATGTAACATTGGAAATGTTTTAAGAATATTTATAAAAACAAATACTCAAGTATGCAAAAATAAAACTTAATTAAATAAAAATATATTTAAAGCATTGTCCTGTCCTGCAATACATATTTAGAAACATTATAAAATAACATTTTAATGGCAATATCATCATAACAATAGATTATACAGTGTTATAGTTAAGGTAGCTAGATAACATGAGAAAGAAAGATCATTCCTTTAAACATATAGACTCATCTTTGTTTTCAACTAGGTAAGCGGCAGAAAGAAAAGACAAGGTGCTTGGATGAAACAGCATATAAACAAATACTAAAAGAAATGGAGAAGAGTTAGGAAGCATTTTCATCCCATGGGTTAAATTTACCAAAGAAATAAAGAATAACTGTTCATTTCTGAAAAAAATATGTTTTTATTCATATCAGACAGAGGAAGGGAGAGGGAGAGAGATATATAAACATTAATAATTAGAGAGAATTATTGATCGGCTGCCTGCTGCTCATCCCCTACTGGGGATTGAGCCTGAAACCTGGGTATGTGCCCTGACCGGGAATAGAACTGTGATCTCCTGGTTCATGGTTTGATGCTCAGCCACTAGCAACACCAACCACAAAGAATAACTATTCTCTATAATATGTACAGTTGAAGAACTAGAAGACACAGTAAATTAAACTATCATAAGAAATCAACTATAATGTTAGAAATTGAGAAAGAAGAACAAAGTAGGAGGGATCTCAATATCCGATATCAAGCCGTATTACAAAGCCACTGTTCTCAAAACTGCCTCAAAGTCATAATAGTGGTATAAACATGAGAATGGGGCTTAAAAAAAAGATTTTTAAAGAAAATCTTCATTCCAGAATATGTTTATTGATATGATAGAGAGAGAGAGAATGAATCATTGATGTATGAGAGAAACATTGTTTGGTTGCCTCCAGTACTTGCCCTGATCAGGGATGGAACTGGAAACCTTTTTGGTGTATGGGATGATGCTCCAACCAACTGAGCCACCCAGCAGGGGCAAGAAGGGGCTGTTTTTTTACAAGCTTTAGCATTAATTAGGTATTCTTAATGACTAGCTAAAGATAAATTCTAATATTAAAAAATTAGCCCTGGCTGGTTTGGCTCAATGGATAGAGTGTTGGCCTACGGACTGAAGGGTCCTGGGTTTGATTCCAGTCAAGGGCACATGCCCGGGTTGTGGGCTTGATCCCCATTGTGGGGCATGCAGGTGACAGCCAATCAATGATTCTCTCTCATCATTGATGTTTCTATCTCGTTCTCCCTCTCCCTTCCTCTTTAGAATCAATACAAAATATATTTAAAAATTACATTATTTTATTTCTGAATACAGTGATCAAATTCTAACATTTTGTCAATATAAGGGCCTACAGCGTAAGCTAAAATTTTGACAACTGCTAAATGTGTATGTGTGTGTGTGTGTGTGTGTGTGTGTGTGCAGATGAAAAGCTAAAAATTTATTGTTCATTTGGGTGATGGGAATTCTAAGGGCATTTAAAACAGAATTTACATATATACAACACTAAACACCAGAAATCCAGGAATATAAGTACATGCTCTCATAACAATGGACAGTATTAAATACCATAGGCTCTGAATCCCTGTCAGTATGATTGCTTCCTTTGAGGGAATTATAAATAGTGAACAGAGAATCGTTTAATTGAAAATGGACTCATCATAGATATGTGTGATTAACTCCACAGGGCAATAAAAATTAACATTTAACATTGCCATGTTTTAACAGTGCCCTGAGGGTCTCCGGATATAGAGAGACAACAGCTATGCCTATGACAGATCATTAATTGGTCATGGTGGTGGTTTTGAATTGCCCATGGCATAGACTTTAAAGCTTAAATGAATGGTCAAATTAGTCTAAAATCCACAAAGGCTGATAAATGCTTTAGCGGCTTCTTACAGGATATGCATTTCTTTTATTGATATATTTTTATTTATTTCAGAGAGGATGGGAGAGGGATATTTCTAAAAAAAAAAATCAACGATGAGAGAGAATCATTGATTGGCTGCCTCCTGCATGCCTCACACTGGGGATGGAGCCCACAACTGGGGCATGTGCCCTGACCAGGAATGGAACCATGACCTCTTGGTTCATAGGTTGACGCTCAACTATTGAGCCACACCAGCTGGGCCAGGATATGCATTTCTGCTGTACATGCATAACAGCTATAATCAGACAATGGTGATATTAGCAAAATCTCAGCCTGGCCACTTCTTTCTTGCAGAAGGAATAAGACACATACAAATGAGGAAACACCACAGAAAAAGTAAACTTGCAGGTAATTGGAAAGGAAGACATAAAAAAAACCTGAATAGAATACAAAATGATGATATCTTGAGAAGAGGAAAAAGAAGTCCATGTTCTCCTCTCTCCCATTATTAGGCTAGGAGTACATAGCAGAATTTAAAGTATTATGGGGAACCACAAATATGGCTAGGATTTGACTAATTGGGGTCCTGAAATTACAAAAGGTGATATCTACCATACAAACCCCCAAAAGCTAATAACCAGGACCACAGCATCACACATAACAGCAAGATCAGAGCTGAGTGCAATGGTGTCTACCTTTCTGCAACCATAAAGCTATCTGAAAGGCATGAGACTGGGATTCTGGCAATGTGAAGACTTCTGGTTTTACCTGGTGTTCATAGGCTTTGTGTTGTACATATGTCTTTAGTCACTTATATTTTCTGATAACCTTTTGGGAAGAATATTAACAGGAGGACTGAGGTAATAGTAAAGAAGCACATGTAGTGGTGAAATTATATAAAATTAATAACTAGAGAACTAATTTAGGGGTCTGATCACATCGGTGTTAAAGAGAGGAAAAATGAGGGTTTATCCTGACACTTAAGAATGACTCTAGGGGTAAGGAAGATAAACGGTCTATAAACATTGAAAATTTTACTCATAATACCTAGTCACTGAAGCTAAACACATGCAGAAATTATGTTTTGAAATTTAATTTAAAACTATTTCATTGCATTTGTTTATCCTGGCATTGGATGAAGCGCTAAAGGAATATGGGACCTATTTTGAAACAAATTTTGTGTATTTTAACATATCAAATGTATTATCTTAGATAATACTTTATTTTGGATCACTTTTTAAAAAAAGAGACAATAAAATGATTGATTTTTTTATTCAAAGGTATAATTGGATAAGTCAATTTGTTTATATCCATTCTTGTGAAATACTTAAATAAAATACGACCGTCCTCAAAAAACTAAAAATGGAACTCCCATTTGACCCAGTGATCCCACTTCTAGGAATATATCCCAAGAAACTAGAAACACCAATTAGAAAGGATATATGCACCCCTATGTTCATAGCAGCACAATTCACCATAGCTAAGATTTGGAAACAGCCTAAGTGCCCATCAGTAGATGAGTGGATTAAAAAACTGTGGTACATCTACACAAGGGAATACTACACTGCGGTAAAAAAGAAGTTCTTACCCTTTGCAACAGCATGGATGGAACTGGAGAGCATTATGCTAAGTGAAATAAGCCAGTCAGAGAAAGATAAATATCACATGATCTCACTCATTTATGGAATATAATGAACATCATAAACTGATTAACAAAAACAGATCCAGAGACAGAGAAGCATCGATCAGACAATAAAACCTCAGAGGGAAGGTAGGGGAGGATGGGGGTAAGGGGGAGAGATCAACCAAAGGACTTATATGCAAGCATATAGGCCTAACCAACCAATGGACACAGACAACAGGGGAGTGAGGGCATGAGTGTGGGGGATGGGGGTGATGTGGGGATAAGGACACATATGTAATAACTTAATCAATAAAAAATAAAAAAATAAACACGCACACACACAAAATACGACTGACTTCTTTTCAAATAGAAGACACCATGATGACCTAGTTTGGGTGAATATTGTACATGATTAGGCAGAAATAGGTAAGCTCACGTTGGTAGATTATCAAATTCTCAGTCAAAACTCCATTGGTGGCCCCTGCTTCTTGATCAATTTCTATTCCCACTTCATCTTCTACCATCTTGTCAACTTCCTGACCAACTCCCCTATGGAATCTGTCTACCTGATTGGTCATCAGATCAACCACCTGACCGACCTGACTGGCCTGACCAATCACTCCTCTGTATGGAATTAGAAGATGTGTTTCCATCATAATAGTCTTCAATTTCAGGTAACTTGACTGACACTGAGAATATCCAGTCTGAATCATGCCCCTCTGCCTGACTCAGTTGTGGAAACATCAATGCAAACACCCATATTTCCTTTTAGGAGGCACATTCTGGTCATTTGGGACTCAGCTTTACTACTCAGCTTTCTGTTCTTCTCAGGCACAGCTGACATCCTGTATGTTTTTCTGGGCTTTCCAGAGTAATGGTCACAAACCACTTTCAGAGGTGATCAAAGATCGTGGCTCAAAACTCGATGCACTGGAGATAAAGGGCTAATGCTGCAGCCAATGCAGCCATCGCCCCTTTCTCTTCTATTAGTCCCTGAGCTGATGGTCGGAAAAAGTCAACAGCAGCATAAGAAATGGAAGCGAGACTCTTGATGGCATCCATGCTTTTAGATTTAACTAAATCCATTGTAGAAGGAACACCTATATATTTAAAATTAATTCCTGCTTTTTGTTCCACATATCTTAGTTGACCTGTTTCTCTTAGTTGATAAAAGCATAAACGCATATGCAAATCCCTGTCCAGCCAGCTCTACCTGTGCATCTAGACCAATGAAAATAGGACTCAACATTCTGTGGAGAACTCTGGGTCACCAAGTCAACCTCAGGAATGTCTAAACCACAGGCAGCCACATCTGTTGCCACTAAAACTTTAAAACTATCTTCTCTGAAGCCCTTCAGTGTAATTTCACTTTGTGACTGTGCAGTGTCCCCATGGGCATTCTGTTTTAAGTGCAGATTCATGGCCATTTCAGTTACATTCTTTTTGGTCTCACAGACCCACCAGCCAATCAGAGCAACTATGCAAATTAACCCAACAAAAATGGCGGTTAATTTGCATATGCAGTCCTGGAGTGAAGACTGAAGACTGAAGAAGACTGAAGAAGAATGAAAACTGAAGACTGAAGACTGAAGACTGAAGACAGACGGGAGAAGCCAAGCCTCGCTGCGGCGGAGGGGAAAAGCCTGGCATCAAGGCTTGGCTTCTCTGCTGCGGCCAGACCAAAGGCCTGGGTCCCTGGTGCTGGAAGAAATCCAGTGCCAGCAGCCAGGGGAAGGAAGGCCTATTGCGCGAATATTCGTGCAATGGGCTTCTAGTGATAAATATAATGAAAAAAGACTTGTGTTGTTTAAGAAAATCTCAAACTAAAATTCTAGAAAACACTAATATGGAAGTGAAGAAAGATAGCTGGGAGGAAAAGTAAACTATGGCCCATGATTTTGGCAGAAGAGTAGAAAGGCACGTTGATTTTAACAGTGTTAAAATATTAGCTCATTACTGTATTCACTCTTAAATATAAAGTCATATAGTTCTTTAGGATTTATAGAAAGTCACTAAAATAGAAATATAATTTATAGTTTCAAATCCTATAGAGGAAAAAAGGAAAACATTTAATCAAATAGATAGCAGAAAATATACATTATAGATAGAGCTCAAAATAATAAATTTGAGTGATAAAGCAAGTTATAAAATCATATGTATAAAATTGTGTGATTAAGTAAATGTCTGATACTCCTCCCCCCCCCCCACACACACAT